TTTTGATTTATCTGAAAGTTAAATGCTGTGGTGTATATTTGATGTACAAAAACATGATGTATAATTACTGCGCTCTCCAACTCCCTCTAGTGGAAAGAGGAAGTGATACAAAATGTAAAATATGTCATTCCAGCACTGTATCAGGGATATGCCAAGTCACTCCTGCATGCGATGTCTAACTTTGACAGAAATGAATTGACACGTCAGAAGACATCCTGCCAGCCCCCCCCGAGTTGCGTGAAGGTGCGAGGGCCCGTTCATCGCTGCTTGCAGCTTTAATTATTATTATTATTCTTATGAACCTTTAATCTCCAATTTGGCCCCTTTCCCAAATTGAAAAACTCACCAAAATTGGCACATGCGTTTGGTCTGGTGAAAAATTTGATATTATGGCAGTGTTGTATGTGGACGGGGCCAAATGGCGACATAGCACCCGCCTGTGAGTTTCACCTACATGCATGAAAATTGGTGGGCTCATAGAACATGCCAAGACGCACAAAAAATCCTCTTGGACCCATGCCATAAACCCAACAGGAAGTCTGCCATTTTGAAAGAACTCCTCCTAGGGATTTCGTCTGATCGACTTCAAATTGGCTACAGATCATCCTGAGAACATGCTGATCAAAAGTTAGTAAAAGCTTTACTCTATATGAAGGGGCGTGGCCGCTAGGGTGTGACAAACTTTTGTGATTTTTCGTTTTCTCGCCATCGAATTTGGAACGACCCTCACGCCCACATACTTGATCTCAGCAGCTTCAAACTTGCTGGACATGATAATGGCTCCGCCCTGAACGGCCAGATATATTAATATCCCACCTTACTCAAAGCGTCTCCCGGTGGTAACAGGAAGTGACCAGTTTTTACTTTAACATCTACTGATGATACAAACTTGACCGCATCAACTTCATTCCACTTCTAATGCATGCAGAACAAGTTGGTGAAGCTACCTTATAAACGCTGTGAAGCTACGTCTAATGGTGTCCATGTGGCGGCATGGCAACTATCGATCCCTCGCCAGCAAATACGTTTGACTTTTTGATGGCTTCAATGATCTCATATTCTCATGAAAATTGATACACAGGTCAAGAATGGCAAGCTGTTGCATCTGATAGGGGCGCTGCCCATGGGGGGACAAAATGCGTCTATAGCGCCCCCTTGAAATTTTCAAGAAACCCTCCCCATAGGGGTTTTTTTTTGAGTAGGAAGATGAAAATTGGTACATATGTGTATGTCACCCAGACGCACAAAAAAGTCTCTGCCACCAATGGTCTACTCCAAACAGGAAGTCGGCCATTTTGATTTAAACTTTCCATTTTGGTGGCGATTTTGTGATTTTGACACAAAATCACAAAATTTTGATGATTTTTTGATGAACTCCTCCTACAGATTTTGTCCAATCAACTTCAGATTTGGTACAGATCACCCTGAGACCATGCTGATCAAAAGTTATTAAAAGCTTTTATCTATGTCAAGGGGCATGGCCGCTATGGCACCGCCCTCACCATCAAATACGTTTGGCTTTTTGATGGCTTCAGCGATGTCATATCCTTATTAAAACTGATACACAGGTCAAGAATGGCAAGCTCTTGATTCTGATACCTTTAAATGTCAGTGCCTGCTGTTTTTAGATCGGTGGGACAGAGCTGCCAGCTGAAATGGAGGTGATACAGCCCCCTCTCTCCCTCAAAACTAATCAATTACACCATTAAATCACTCCAAAACGCTCTAGTGGAAAACACACGGCTTGCGCATCCCCCACGCTATGAAATAATAATGTATAATTAAGTAACATTACGACACATGAAGCAAATACTCGGAATTACTTTCTTTAGTAAACCATTGGGCGGAGTGACACAGTTCGTACCTGAGACAGTGCCGTAGTTATTGCTTGCAACCTTGCATTTGCGGTATCGTCAGCTGGACGCAGCAGATAGTTTGAGAAAACTTTACACAGTGCTTTTGTTAATCATGGTTTACATATATTGTAAAAGGTTGCAGTAACAAACCGTAGACGTGGAGCAGACTGACGTATACGGACAGAATTAAACAATTGCTATTTGTGCCGGACATCGATCCCAACACGCCTGTTGAAACGGTCCGGAAAATGTTTGTTTACGAGGACTACAGTGAAAGGATGGGGCGCAGAAGCTCAGGAATGGTTCAAACGCTTTTCTTGAAAGATACTATCTTATCATCTATCAGCATCACAAAACGAGCAGACGTGGTAAGTGATCGATGTGGAATTGTGCGCAGCATCTCTCTGCTGTAACGTTAACGTTACCGGGCCCTATTAGCAGCCGGCCTCTTAAAAAACCATTTAATAAATAAACGCCGGCCTCTTTTATAAACTGGTGGTGTTTATGTGACGTTTTCGACATTTATACAGCGCTAGACCCGGATTACACACATCCACAGACACAGACAGGCACATCCACACACGTCAACTCTCATCCAGGCATATGCGCAGTGCACTCTCAGCTGATTGTAAACAGATAAGATCGCGACAAGAGGCAACTTAGGT